TTGACCAAGAATTGATTCAATATGTTTTTCTTTGGGATGCTTTGCTGGAACAATAGCGAGGTTACAACATCCGCAAGCACTATTATTTCGTGCTTTCCAATTTGATACCCACAGAGAGTAAAGTAAAGAGGAGAGTTACGGTATCACGTATGCTTTTGTAAAAAAAAGAAAACGAAAAGAAAAGAACCTTTGAATGTTATATTTCCAAATATCAATAGAGTCTAGTAGCTTAAATCAAAATATTCCTATCACTGGATGGTGAGGTTCTAGAATTACCCAGATAATTTCCTTTAGTTTCAAATATTCAGATAATTGAAAGAAATTCAGATAATTATATCAACTTCTCTTACACTTCAGACATATATGCACTTTATACATTTTAATGTAGTGATGAGTCTCAAAATGTGACCGTCTAAAATGTGAAACCCTACCTTTGAATTTTATAAAGTGGAGTAAGAGGTCAAATTTATCTCGATGAGGTAACATATTTGAAGGCTCCTAGGTAATGCCCGGTACATTAGAACATGCTCCATGATTACATTTTTTAACACAAATCATTAAATTTTGCTTAAGGTTATTTTCTGTTCAATAGTATTTTTCATTAAGTAGTATTCACTCTTTGGGGGAAGATAATCTATGGTCTATACAAAGGTGGCATAAAAATACTGCTTTGTTTCCGGTACCCCCTTGATGTGGCCCAATATCTTGTGGGATTGTTTGTTTCTTTGTTTTAGCCCCAGCCACCACATTGAACTAAAATCTTCAGGGAACAAGGATTCTTAAGTCTGATACCTTGTTATGGGACTTCCCTGGCGGTCCACTGGTTAAGACTTCACCTTCCAATGAAGGGGGTGCAGGTTCGATCCCTGGTTGGGGAGCTAAGATCCCACATGCCTCGCGGCCAAAAAACCAAAACAGAAAACAGAAGCAATATTGTAACAAATTCAGTAAAGACTTTAAAAATGGTCCACATCCATTGGTTCTGTTTTATGTTTTGGTTTTTTGGCGCGAGATATGTGGGAGATCAGCTTGGTGCTTTGTGTCCACATAGACGGGTGGGATAGGGAGGGTGGGAGGGAGATGCAAGAGGGAGGGGATATATGTATATGTATAGCTGATTCACTTTGTTATAAAGCAGAAACTAACACACCACTGAAAAGCAATTATACTCCAATAAAGATGTTAAAAAAATGGTCCACATCAAAAAAAACTTAAAAAAAAAAGTCTGTCACTTGGTGAGTAAACCCTAATGCAAAGAGTATAGAGCATGGTGTTTCAAACCTTGGCACCATGGACATTTTGGGCAGGCTAATCCTTTGTTGTGAGGGCAGCCCTGTGCATTGGAGTATGGTTAGCAGCATCTCTGGCCCCTACCCACTACCACTAGCACCCTTCCCCCCAATTCATGACAACCAACAATGTCTCCAGGAAGCAAATTTGCTCCTGGTTGAGAACCATGGCCCTAATGCATTACCTCACTATTGCCTAAATTAAAGTTTGGCCATTTCTGTCTACCTACACTTTAGCTATGAACCCAGTCCATTCAGTAAATATTTATAAACGTGGGAAAAGTTAAATATTTAATATTGAGGGTATGACAAATGTCAGGAAACCGAAGCCACAGATTGTAAATTTAAATTAGTAACTCTTATTGGGTTCAAGGGCACAGTCTAACTTGGAATTCACTGACTTTGCTTAATCTGCATATACTTTTGCTTTATTTATGTGGTTATTAAGTATTCATACCCACTCAGGTATGAATCAAGCAGGTACCAAATCCGATCTGATACACTATGTCACACTCTATGCAGCTACTCAGAACATAAGATGTGGTGTCTCCCCTCAAGCTGTGGGAACACATTGTAATATGTTATTAGATTCTAGGCTGACATTTTGGAGTAAAAATATTCAAGTGCCGTTTTGGGGGGGAATAACAAAAGCATATTTGAATTTCTTGTCATTTTGTTTAAATTAAGAAATAGACACATGAAAAAGCATAAGCAAACTACAAGGAACTCCATATAAAAACTCAAGTGATCTCTATCAATAATAACAACAACAGTTTATTTAATAGCAGGAAACATAAAGAAAGATCAGAAAGTTCACTAAGATCTCAAAAGCAGTGTTTTTAAGGAAATTTCTCAATAGTTCAGGTCTCAAAATTTACCATTCAGTCTTCCACAGGCTTACATAACTCTGGCCCAGAATCATGTCAAGAAAAGTCACTTCTTAGATATGCTTACCTTATTTATTAAAATTACACAACTTGCTCTTAGGTAGTTGTGAAATTAAAGTAATGGAAAATAATTTAGGAGACAAAAAAAAGAAAGATGTAACAGATAGTAAAGTGAACAATTTAAAGATTCAGCAAGAGCAGTGCCTAGGAGTTAAACCAGGCCATCAATAAAACACTATAACAACTAGCACTATGCCAACCTCAGTGAAGAGTTCAAAGGAAATCCATCCATCCATTCATTCAACAAATATCTATTGAGGGCTTCCTATGTGCCATACACTGTTCTAGGTTCTGAGGATACAGCAATGAATAAAACCGACAAAAATCTTGCCCTCAGAAAGCTGACATTCTATCTGAATAATTCTTACATAAGAGAAGCAAATGAAATGCATGAAATAAGAAGAAAGAACTGGGCTTCCCTGGTGGCGCAGTGGTTGAGAGTCCGCCTGCCAATGCGGGGGACGTGGGTTCGTGCCCCGGTCCGGGAAGATCCCACATGCTGCGGAGCGGCTGGGCCCGTGGGCCATGGCCGCTGGGCCTGCGCGTCCGGAGCCTGTGCTCTGCAACGGGAGAGGCCGCAACAGTGAGAGGCCCGCGTACCGCAAAAAAAAAAAAAGAAGAAAGAACTACAATGTGAGTGCTGCTTCCACCAACATGCAATAGGAGGAGCTTGAAGGAGGGCTTCGATCAATGAGCAAGTCAGTGGGGGTGGGACTTGAGATGAGCCTTAAATGATGGAGCTTGATTCAGACCCTTGCTACTCAAAGTGTGGTCTAAGAATCAGCACTATATGCACCACCTGGGAAATTGAGAGCAATGCAGAATCTTGGGCCACTCCAAACTTGCTAAGTCAAAATCTGCAGTTTAAAAATATCCCAGGGAATTTCTATGGACATTAAAGTTTAGATGGCACTGCAGGTTTCTGGTCAAGCTGGCATTAAGTGTGAACTGGGCTGGTGGGAAATAGAGACTGGATTGTGGCCTATCGTCAGTTTAGAAGTGGTGAGGGCCTGGACTTGAGGATGATATCCTTTGCCATCTGAATGGATAAAGAAAATGTGGTGTATATACATGAAATGGAATGTTATTCGGCAATAAAAAAGGAAATCCTGCCATTTGTGACAACATGGTTGGACCTTGAGGGCATTATGCTAAGTGAAATAAGGCAGACAGAGAAAGACAAATACTGTATAATCTCACTTATATGAGGAATCTAAATAAATACCAAACTTATAGAAACAGAGAGTAGATTGGTGGTTGCCAGGGGAGGGTGATGGGGGAAGTAGGTGAAGGTGGTCAAAGGGTTCAAACTTCCAGTTAGAAGATTACTAAACTCTGGGGATGTAATGTATGGCATGGTGACTTATAGTTAACAATACTATTTTGTATACTACTTGACAGTTGCTAAGACAGCAGACCTTAAAAGTTAGAAGGACTTGGGTTTGAATTCCCAGCCCTACCACTTCTTAATTATGTGATATTTGGCTCAAATTATTTAACCTCACTGAGCCTTTTTCTGCATTTCTGCAAAATGGAAGAAAAGCAATGTGACCTCAGGGGATCCTTGTAAAGATTTAATAAGGTAACATATATATAGCAGTTAGTGGTCCCTGGCACAAAGAAAATGGCACCCATTAACAATAACTATATTGATAACAATAATTTGCTATCTTTTGAGACAGATTCTAAAGGAACAAGAGAAACATTTATTGTCTGCCGGAGTCCCAACACTGTGTTGGGTACAGACCTACAACAACCTGCAAGTTAGGGAACTCCATCCTCATTTTAAACTGGCACTTGTATTACATATTACAACCCCTTGTGGGTTCTCAAAGGTTCCTTCATAATGAGATGACCATAATTGCTATTATTACTATAGCGGTTGTTATTGTTAGGTTATTCTCAAAAGAGCCTGTCTCCCTGCTGGAGTGAAACTTCAAATGGGGTGGAGGCAGGGAGTTGCTAAAACCACTGCTATGTATGCTGAGTTCAGTAATACGCCCATCTAATGACCCAATCTCATTTCCCATGCCTCTATTTCCTCATTAATTTTTCTGCCGATGTACCATCTGTTTTCCAACTTCCCTCTCTCTTACATGTGCAGAACTTGTGATGAAGAGAAGCCCCAGTCTGGTCGCCCTCACCAAACCCCCCAACTGACAGCCCAAGAGATAGATAGGGGTAGCCTCAGTTCTAAGTCACCTGAAGCCTGTCTGGGGGCGGGGAATCCGGAAAGAGGAGAGTGGCCACGGACCCGCCCAGTGGCCCGGCCCGAAGCTGGGGAAAGAGCAGGGGTCCACCGACTCGGCGGCTCTCTGCGTCCCCGCCCTCGACCAGATCGGGGAGTCAAGAAGGACTTCCAACACCCGCCAAGTTTCAACTCAAGACTTCTGCGAGGCCGCGTGTGCCCGAGCCCTTGCACGCCTGCCTGCAACGTGGCCGCGTCCGGGACGCCCTCGGACCCCGAGGGTCACCCGAACTCTTCCCTTCTCTCTCCAGGCCGAGCCGTGTTCCAGGCCCCCCTGTCCGCGGGTTCTCCTCTCCGTGGGCCGGGAAAGCCTCCCTCCTCTCGGGCTCCAACCACCCCAGCCGAGCCCCTTCCCTGCGCGGAGCCTTAGCTCTCCTGACACCGCCCGGCTGCAGGGCGGAGGCAGGGCCAGCGGCGGAACCGCCCCCAACCGCCTCCCCGGCCCGGCGAGCAGGCGGGTGGCTGGGGCGCCTCCACCTCCTCTTCCTAAAGCGGCGAGGAGCAGACGAGCGGCATCACTCGAGCCCAGGTCCCGGCCACCGCCACACACGGTGCCCAGCGTTCAGTAGGGGGAGCAGCAGCTGAGGCGGCTGCCACAGCGGCGGGCCGGCGCCAGAAAGGTAGACTGAGTCTCGGGGAGCCGCGCCGCGGACCGCCCACCTCCCGTCCCCGGGCCGCGCGCGCCACCCGCCCCGTAACCCCACTCGTATGTGTCCTTCCAGGCCCCGGTCGAAAAGCCTGGGAGGGCCGCCGACCTACCCCCGGAGGAGGAGCCAGTCGGAGCCCAAGGCGCCACCGCCGCCGAAGCCGCGCGGAGCTGCTTTCGCCTTCATGGCCCACTCACCGGTGGCTGTCCAAGTGCCCGGGATGCAGGTGAGGACGCCCGGGCCTCCCCCGCCGTCCACGTGACTGCCCGGGAGCCGGGGGCGCGCTCCGCGCTGGGCACGGGCGACGAGAGGCGGCCCAGGGCTTCCCCGAAGCCGGGCCGGGCGCTCCGGCCAGGTGACCCGGGAAGAGCGTTCTCAGTGTTTCCCGGCGTGTAAGCTAGGTGGTGCACTGCGCCGACCGGGCGCGGAGGGACTGGGGGCGCGGCAAGGTGGGGATGCTGGGGGGCGAGGGGGGGGTGCACAAAATAGCCCGGAGCGAGACACCTGCGCCGGCTGACCGTGGTGCGGTTGGGGGTTGGAGGTGGGAGCACTTAACTTGGGAGAGATGGAGGTGTCTAGGAATTCGTGGGGTAAAACGCAAGTGGTGCTCCCCCCTCACACACACACACACACACACACACACACACACACACGACACAAGTTGGGGCGGAGCAAGGCAACGGGGTGTCGGTGGTGGCGGCTTTGAATTGGGCTCTTCCTGTATGCGTAGAGCAAAGAGCGAGGTGACTTCTTTTCCCCTTTTGGTGCTGCTGCTTCAGGGCCAAGTTGTATCTCGCTCCCCCAACCTGGTCCAGCCCATAGGGTGGCGTGAGAAATGCAGGGTCCTAAGTTAGAGTAGCGGAGGTGATGACTCCCCCGCCCCGCCCCCTGCCTTTCCCACAGGAGGTCTGTTGCAATGCGGTTAAAGGAAGCTTTTTGTCCTGAACAAGGGACTACTTGCCTGGGACCCAACTTTTTACTCGACATCTTCCCAGCTCTCTCCCATTATATTTTCATTTTATTGAAGAAGAAATAAGCTATGGCCACACACTTTTTATGCTGTTATGTTTTTAAATCGGTGCATTTCAAGCTATCTACTAAATGTTATCCAAGTTTACTGACTTTTAAGCGTTCACATTTTATTTTTTTTCCTTTGCTAGACAGCCTAAACAACCTATTTATGAATAGGTCAGAGACTAGAAACACTTAAGCCTCATTACCTTCTAAAAATGTGAAAGCAAACATTTTCTACGTTCAGAAAAAATGTTTAGAGTAGTAAACAGCTTATGTTTCTAGTAGAAATCAAAGTGCTATGGATTGGGGCCTCAGTTTACTAATTAATTAATGGAATTCATTTTTTTAAAAAAGCAGTTGGTTATATTTGATGCATGGTCACACAAAAAAAGGGATTTTTAAAATACTTTCCACCAAAAGGACCGTTTGTGTCGGACATATATCTAACCTAGGACGCCTGTGTCTCCTAAGCACCAGGCCTTTTAGCTAAATATAGGGCAAGTCTGGGTTGAGTCCCAGGAAGTCGCTGTGTAGTTAATAAAAAAGAAAGGAAGAAAAAGGGAAATGAGAAATATTAGGGCCTTTTTATAGGTTGATCCATTCAAGCTTTACAAAATGCCTCAAACTTCCTTCTTCTCACGCCACCCCCCTCCTTCCCTCCCTCTTTCCCCCAGCCACTGCCCCTCACCCCATTCATTCAGTTCTGCCTTTGATTATATGAAGAGAATTAGTAATTTGCATTACTAACTACAGTTTTGCTCTGTCTGATGTGGAAGAAAGTGCGAAATTTTTCCCACCGTGCTCTCCTTTCCATTCTGTGAAGAGTAGAACGTTACGGATGTGTAGTTTGTCTCTGAGGGTCTCGGTACTTCTCTCTCCATTGTGTGCACGCGCTGCCTGCGTGCGTGCGTCAGCAGATTGAGTGCCTCCCATTCATCAAGTTTGTGATTCTGGGGAACTCTGTGTGCTAAGGAGAAAATGGTTTCTGGTCTTTATTTCATTTGTCTTGACTTTATTTGATTTATATGGTTTCTGGTCCTTATTTGATTTGTCTTTATTTGATTTATATGGTGTAGGAACTGCTTGCTGTTCAGTATTTATTATGGCTCCCTGCTTTGTTTCATTATCTGAGTTCCCTATCTCTTGAATTTTAAAATCTTAATTAAGGTGGTTTAGAATGTGAATCACATATTTTGAATGATAAATTCTGCTTTTCACTTTATGTCTGCCCAAAGTTGTGATTACTTTGTCTACCCTGATTTGGGGAGGGCAATCATCTCAATATTAGAAAAGAGGAGAGGAATATTTATTTGTCATTTTCTCTGTCTGAATGAAATGGTAAATTCTTAACTTCTTATTTCCATTTTCTTTGTATATGTGGTTCTTACGCATTTGGTGCAACACAAAAGTTTTCCACTTTTAAAATTGTGGAGTATCCTAAAAATAAATTTGATGGCATGCAGTGCGACTCTTGAGCCTAGACTACTTTGACTATTCTTTTGTTTAAAAATATTGCAGATGAGATGCAGAAATATATCATGAGCTTGTAGAATTCTCCTTGAGTTTTGTGAAAGAGGGGCAACTTTTAGACCTATAGAGTAGTAAGAAAACGTGAGTTAGCCATGTGTTCTTGAAATTCATGTATAGTATTTCCACAAATCTGGGTGAAGTGGTCGACCGGCCTATTACTTTTTAACAGTTTATTTTAGGGAATTATGAAGATTGATGGAAAAAAATGATTTTTCCAGAAATAAAAACAAATTTACTTTATCCACAGTGTTTTTCTCCCCCCTGAGGAGAGACGTGAAGTCGAGCTACCTGTTCTATCACTTAAGACTTCCAGCATTCCTGACTTTCAAACAAAGAAATTTCTGTTGCCACTAGTTTAAAATAGAAAAGAAACTTGGAGTGATGAAAGAAAACCCAGGATTTGGTCCAGTTCAAACCCTTCCTTGTGAATTAGTTATTCAGACTCATATTGTTAATATTTCTTAATATTGTGGTAATGAACTTTTTGCCATATTACACCAAATGTGGAGGGTATGAATTTTTTTGGTACTTAATTTGTGCTTACTTCTCTAGTATATAACTAATTTTCCATACCAGGAGCTAAACTCTTGAAAAATATTTAAAGCACAACTTAAAAAAATAAGTCAATAAACCTGTTTCTTTCCACTCAAATATTTACTCTTTAATGATTTAAAACATGTTTTTTCTTTGAAGTTCTCAGTTGTAAATCATACTTAAGTTTAAGATATTTCCCCTTAGAACCTGCATTAGTATTTATGAAGACAAGTGTTCTAAATTGGGTGTTAAATCTTTCATAAAATGTGGGTGGGAGAATAAGGTTAAATGTTGAATTAGAGTACTAAGTATTATTATGTTATGCTTTGTGTTATGCCTTTTGTGAAAGAATTTTTTAAACTTCCTGCTAAAGAATTTAAACATTAGTCTTCATGTATCTTTAAATATGATCAGGGTGGTACAGTTTGTAAATGGTAGTTATTTGAGATGTGAGATGGAAATGAAGTTTAAGGATTAATGAACACTTTATTGGAGACTTTTATCTAAGAGTTGGAAAACATTGCCTTGCATTGGTGAACCTAGTTACTGGGTTCTGGGAAGGATACAGAAGTATACTACATGATGTCTGCCCTTAAAGATCTTAAAATGTTGTTGGGGAGATAAATCTAGCACATGAAATATCAAATAATGTGAAATCTGTGATACTTACTCTATAATAGAAGTTGCTGACTGGAAGAGTTGAAGGCTTGCCCCCAAAGGATTTTTAGGATCCATATTGGGGAGGGCATCTCCAAGCAGGGAAATACCCTGAGCAAGTGTGTGCACGCACACGATCTTTGAGCGTGGGATAAAATAATAGGGGGTAAGATTGGAAAACTTGACTGCGTCCAGATTATGGTGGTTCTTGAATGCTAGGGAAGGGTTTTGGCCTTCAGACTAGCCACTAAACATTTCTAAGTAAGGGAGGTTCAATGAACAAAGTTGTATATAGGAAGAGAAATCTTAAGATTGGTTGAATGGATGAGCTGGAGGATTGAGAGACTTGAGGCAGTTTGATCTACTGAGACTACTTCAACAAGGTATTCATATCTGTACAGATGTAATGGACCTTGCATTGACTGATTGCCTTCCCTATGCCTAGTACTATGAGGTAGAAAATATAATTACCAGACTTGTAATTAGCTAGTTACAGGAGGAAGAATCGAAGCCTTTGTGATGTTGAATATGGGCAACTGGGACAATGATGGTACATCCAAAAGAAATCGGAAAGTCAGGGAGAAGAGCCAGATCCAGCAGAACATTAATGATTTCTGTTCTAGGCTTGTGAAGTTCGAGGTAACAGTGGAATGACAAAATAAAAATGTAGAGCTGTATGTCTATTATCTTGATTGTGGTGATGGTTTCAAAGGTGTATACATATGTCCAAACCCATCAAATCGTATACATTAAATATGTACAATTTTTTTGTATCTCAACATGCCTCAGTAAAGCTGTTTTTAAAAATGTCCAGCAAATACTTGAAGATATAGATCTGGAGCTCTGGTCATTCATCAGACATTTACTGAGCATTTACTATATGCCAGTTTCTTTACTTGAAACTGAAGGGTGGGAGCCACCAAGGAGGGAAAGGTCATAATGCCAGAGAGCATGTGGAAGTGAGGGCACTTGTGAGGCAGGAAGCATAGGTGGAGGGTTGGCTTGTAAGAAAAGGAAGGGTGACTTAAGATGCATGGCGGCGGGGGGCTTCCCTGGTGGCGCAGTGGTTGAGAGCCTGCCTGCTGATGCAGGGGACATGGGTTCGTGCCCCGGTCCGGGAAGATCCCACATGCCGCGGAGCTGCTGGGCTCGTGAGCCATGGCCGCTGAGCCTGCGCATCCAGAGCAACGGGAGAGGCCACAACAGTGAGAGGCCCGCGTACCGCAAAAAAAAAAAAAGCATGGAGGGATGAGAAAATGTGTCAGGATTGGGAAGGAGTTAACTGGGGTGGGGGGACTTCTTAATTTAACTCTCATCATGAAACCTAAATTGGAGAAAGAATTCAGTTTGGTGTCAGAATCTAGTATGTAGGCTTCTTACCTTCCTTCCACCTTCTGAAAGGAATGATCAGCTTTGCAATTTGAGGTGGAAAGAGGTAGAGAGCAATGCTTGCACTAATAGATAAAGCCAAACCATTGTCCTCGTTGGTGG